CTAGTGTAGAACCTTCAGGCAGACTACTTAAATTAGACAATGACTAAAGTTGTATGAGTGGCTAGTTGTATACTCTTCCCATGGTTGCCTTCTGTGGTTATAATGCAACCATTAGCCAAATATACTATCAATAAAATTCCGAGTCGCAAGTACTCACCTTAATATTTAAAAAAAAATATATATATTCCAAAAAACAAATTACCAGAGGCAGTCATACTGTGGGTATAATCTGGCTTCGAGTTTAAAAAATGAGAAAGTGGGGTTGGACAAAAAATTTGCCTATATATATATTATATAATTAATAATATTATTAAGGCAAAAATACAAACTTAATAGGAGTAGTTTGATACTTATTAACAATGCTAGCACCTAATGCTATAATAAGTAATTCTTCACTTCTTTCTATTGTAATATTATGAGATCTAATTGGAGTTATATTCTTTATCTCTTGAAATTAGCTTTCTACATTGATTGGTTGTAATATATTATTTTTATTATTTTTGTTAATAATAGTTTCATCATTTACCTTAAAAGTAACCTCAGTATCAATTTTTGAAGATTCTAATATTGGAACAATTTTATCATTAGTATGAGTCAGTATATCAGTGCTAATTTTTTTGACTTCATTCATAATTTTTCTGCATACAAAATATTTACTGAAATTTTTGCTAGTTTCACTAACTGCAGAGATATTATTATTGCAAAGCAATGATGATGCAAAGCAAGGCTTAGCCTTTTCCTTTTCAGGTCTAGACTTTGATATATTTTTTTCACTATCTCCACCAACCACAGATACTGAAATATCCTCTGATTTTAGATGCTTAAGCTCACTGATCTTAGAATTTAATTTAACCTTTATATTCACCAATTTAGCTTTGAGGGACATTATCTCAGAATCTTTTTTTGATGAGTATTTCTGAGTTAAAGATAATTCTTCTCTAATGACTTGATTCTAGATTGAAATGAATTCACTTTTTCTAGTTTACTATAATATTTGGCTTTATACTCAGTAAGGTTGGTATTTTTGCTTTTCAACCCTTTAATTTCTTTTTTGAATTGTTTTTTAATCAAGTCATTTTGATTTTTGTCATTAATGTACTGATTTAATTTTTTCTGGAGATGTAAAATCTTGACATTTTTTTTTTCTAGCTCTTTAGTAATCACATCAGATCATGCTTCTGCAAGAGCTTTAGCGTTTCTAAATTCAGAACATTTATTAGTAAAAAATTTGGTTTTAAGAAGCAACTCATTGCATTGAGATTCAAGTTCATGTTCTCTACTATCTAATTTATATCCACATCCTTGAAAATTTTTGGCATCAGTAAATTCACTATACAAAGTACATATTGGTGTCATATAATCGAAGAGAATTATGTTCAAAGAAAAAAAACTAATCGCAATTTGACTTTTTACTGATTATGAATAAAAAGGAACCCAGATAATAATTGGTATTTAATTAGGCAATAATTAGCTGAAAGTTAGTAATTAGCTGGGCAAAAATTGATACTTAGCTAGACATAAAATAATAATTAATCAGTTTTATATAAAAATAGATCTATAATTAAGTCAGTACTAATTATTTCTTGGTTTTTGTCTGATTTGTATCTGATTATTGTCTGATTATTACTCAGTTTTTATCCAATTATATACTAGAAATGAATGGATATTTACCTAGATTTAAATCAGATATTTTTTTAATATCATTATATATTTTTCTAAAATGGTTAAAACCAAAGGTAGATCTCAAGTTCAACAATATCTTAACCCTACTGCTACTTCATTAACTCCTGAAGCAATCGAAAAAATAAGGGATGCTCATGCAAAACAAATACCAAATAGAAAATGCATTATATGTGCTAATTATAAAATTAGTAGTGAAAGATATGATGATATTGTAAATGGCCAGATATATCCTCAACCACCTGAAATAGAAATAACATCTATGAATTCATCTATCTCAATACCTTAACCAGAAATCTTGCCTATATATAGCTTATCAAGTATCAGAAATCAGAGCAAGTAATTTCTTTAAGCAAACCAGTGACAAAAAAGACTAGCAGAAAAAAGAAAGTCTCACAGAATGAGGAACTTCCTAGTTCTAATATTAATAAGACAAACTCTAATGTAGAATTATCTAAAGATGAAGATCGATCAAAATCAAAAACTATAAATTATTTTATCTCATCAATACCAGGGAGTGATGTGCAAGCTAGAATGGAAAATTTATGAGAATATAAAAAACAGCTTCAAGCTGAATCTTGAAATCATATCAATTTTTTTTTAAGATATTCTGCATAATTAAGAGCTCTAATAAATTCCTTTTTAATAATTGCTTTATTTTCTAGATTTTTTATATCTGATATGATTTGAATCTTGGAATGAAATTCTAATCTGTGAAAAAAATCAATTTGTTTATCAGAATCTATTATGTTTAAAGCCATATCAAGCTATTTTTCAGTCTTTATAAGTCACTTTTCAAGTGTGTCATATTTTTAAGTCTTCACCATTATGCATATCTAATGTTTGTTGCTCTGGTTTACTAACCCCTGGAGGCTTACTAAAAGTTGGGATAGTGTAAGTCTTCCCATGTAACTTCATTTAAAATTGGTTTTTACTAGAGTTAAGAACACCATGAACCTTTCAAATTCATGTCATACCTATGCATAGCATTGGCTCAGATTCACCATTATTAATATGAGCAAAATTTCCAGTAGACATAACAATCTTATCATCTTTGTCCTTTACACTAATTGGCACATCTATATACCATTCTAATGATTCAGATATATGTTTGAAATTGCCCTTTATAGCAAAGTCAGAAGGCTTATCAGCTTTCTACCTCAGGATGTTAATTGTTGCATCATTCACTCCTCCAAATTTACTTGCACTATCTAAAAATGAATTAGTGATCAATAGATTATTTATATTACAATGCAAGTATTGCAATAACAAAAACCATTCATTTGATTTTGATTCTTTTTCCTAAACTATATGAGACTAACATATTTTACACATTGCTGATGAAAACTTTGGTAATAGTTTATTGTATGTTTCAGGCTGACTAAGTTCTGAAAGCATTTTTTCATTTACTAGTACTTGTTTTTTTTTCTAACTGAGATAGAGCATGCCATCTATTTTCTTCCTCATTATATTCACCTTTATCATCCTCATAATTATCTGAATTAGAAGATGCATATTGGGATTGGGAAGGTATTAGAGGAAGAAAGTATCAATGTGTTAAATTTGATTTAGCTACAGGTTTTTTGGATTAATTTTCAAGCATCATCCTCCCAAATTAAGATATCATTTGACTGATTTCATCTACTTTCGATTCTATTCTATCTATTCTAGCATTCTGGTTTGATGAATATATCTATTTCAGACAAGGTTTTTGAAAAGGCTTTATAGGATAATTTCTCTCTAAATCTTCTGTACTAAATATACCTAAATTATTTAAGTATTGTGATAAATGATAATTTTTCATACCTTTTTTCATTTATAATAAAGGTAGTGGACCTTTTGGCTGTTTAACTGGTTCAACAGTTTGAGGAGCAGTTTGCTTAGCCATTTGAGATTCTAATTCTGTAACTTTCTTTATTAATGTCTGGTTTTTAGTTTTTTGTTGCACTAGTGCATTTTGGACTGCTTTTTGTATATTTTCTAAAGAAATTGTATGCTCTTGCTGTTGAGAAGCTGGGGTAACTAGTGGTAAAGAATAGGATACTGAATTTATACTAGGTAAGGCTTGAACTTGATTGGCAATTTACTTGATTTTTCTGAGATCCTTCCACTCAAATTTTGCCCACACTCTAGTTACATATTTTTTAGTTTAGTGAAAAATGCATTAATACCTACAGGATTAACAATTCTCATCCAAGTATAAAAATTACCTGTTAAATAACTTTTAAGAAATCCTAAAACTTGTGCATTATTGTCTGCTACTTCTAATAATAATAGTCAAATTCTGGCTTCATAGGTATTAAGAATATCATAAGGCTGATATCTTTCTTGAGTCAATTTTTGAATAGCCAATTGTTGATTTCCAACAGTTTCTTACTGATATTTTGCTCTCATCTAAGCCTGTAATATATTTGGAGAATTTATAGCTGGATTTTCTACTACAAGATTATTATTTCTAGTACTAGAACATATTTCTACCTATCATAGATTTTAAAATATTACACTTGACTGCATTGTCAAAATCTCCTGTATTTGCATTCTTAAGAACCATCATATGCCTTTCAAGATATGCCTATGATTAAATAACTTTATTCAAGTAATCATCAGATGGTTTTTGGCCTGTATAAGGTGAAAATTTTGCAAGAGCAGGAGCCATTAATTTAATACTGGTAAACATCTAGCATCAGCTATGTTTATTTGATTTGGTGGATTATTATGAAGCTCCAAAATTTGTTGTTATAAATTTAAAATATTCTGGCACTCTGCATGGGTCTTATTTTTTCATTTCGTATATTGCTCATAGAGTCTGTCTTTATTATATTCTAATAATCACTTATCAGCTCTGCATTGTTGTAGGTGGTAGGCATTTTGCTGATACAATAACTAGAAAACAAAATTTTTACATAGCAATTCACTAATATAGGTTTGTTTTTCTACTATATTATCTATTATTCTATTTACCTGGTTTTGTGCATTAGTTCACAACTGCTAAAGATCAAGCAATGCCTAATCTCACTTCTGCCTATATGTATCTCAGTCCTATTATACATTTATCAGATCTTGTTGTAGATTAGTGTATTTACATCGAATTGATCTTGTTAATCTTTTAATTTAATTTGTTAAAACAGTTTTACATATTGCTGTATTATTTAGAGATCGGTCTATAGCATTGGCCAATTCAGCTTTTGTACCCATATTATCAGAATTATACAAGTTTAGAGAATTTTCATCAGAATCAGATTCATTTTCACCAAAATTCCATGCCTGTGCATTTTGTAAAGCCTCTTGTGTATTTCTAAGCTCTAATCTATCTTGATATCTTAATAATGCTAATGCAAAATTTTGACAAAGCAGATCTGTAATACGATTTTTTTGCTGATTTATTTTATTAATCCTAT